GGGGGCAACACAAGCCCTCCTGTCCTAATAAAAATGTGGTGGGGCCCGGTGGTACCATAATTTGATGTTTTGCACTTGTTAGGTTTGATATCTTAGCTCGCATCAAACGTATAGATCTAGATTTCTAGATCTCGATGTAGGTCAGGCTCAAAATATAAGGGGGGTGGGAACTACCCAAAAAGCACCAGCAAGCCCACATCCCGTTAAATGTAGAAAAGACGCATCTTCTTTCTGATTGGCTGCTAATTTTAGTTATGTGATGTCATCACTTCCTGGGATACCCACATGGAACGACGTGTTTTGGGTAACATTTCGGATTTCCTAGATCTAAATCTAGATCTAGATCTAGACTTAGAAGGCCTACTTGGACATGATGGAAGACTGCACGAAAATTGCCATAAAGACGCAGGAGGACTAGATCTAGATGTCTAGATCTAGATTTAGATTAGATATCTAAATTTAGATAAGATCTACCACCCCCCCCCTCTCCTGCATTTTTAATCACTAATACATTTTTTTTAAAAACAAGTTTATCAGAACTTCCGAGAGAAAGGTGGGCGCTTTTTCGGTAGATTCTAGATCTAGTTCCCACCCCGCAATTTTATTCACGGGTTTGGGCCACAAGAGTAGGGGGGTTTCAGGGGGGCTTGCCCCCCTGACCTAACAAAAATAGGAAGGGGGGATTTTACCATAATTTAATGTTTTGCAGTTGTTAGGTTTGATATCTTAGCTCACCGCGAATCAAACGTATAGATCTAGGTCTAGATCTAGATGTAGGTCAGGCTCAAATAAGGGGGGTGGGAACTACCAAAAAAGCACCGAAAGGTGTAGATTAAGCATCATATTTAGCCTCTATACATAGACACTTCCATCTTTGGTGCCATGCGGTTGTCTATACTTAGATCTAGATCTAGATGTAGTCACGTGATCGGACGGGCATCCTGGTCTGACGTCAAAACATGATGGGCGCCTTACCTAAAAATAGTTTGCGTCTTTCTACTTTTAATCGCAGGCTGGCCCCCCTTCCCTATCCTTGCTTGTACTTGTAAATTCAAGTGCATTTTTTTACTGCTCATTTTGTAGGCTAGAGATCTAATCTAGATCTAGATTGAAAGTGGCTATTCTCACCCGCCCGGAAGTTCTCGCAAGATAAACTCCTCCTCTCTTCTCTCTCTCTCTGTCTCTTTCTGAATACTGTCTATCCGTGTGGACGATCAAATTGACCAAAACAAAGTTTAAAAATGATGTTAAAACACAAAAGTAAATTAATTTGGTTGTCTACAAAGATGCTACGGCTATTTAACTTTTCGAATCGAGCCGAACTACGCGGGTCGCCATTTTGTTTTGTTCTCTCTCTCTCTCCACTGCCCACAGACAAAATTGTACGCTTTTAGTAGGCTACAGTTGTAATGGAACGTTTGTTCACGGCACAGAATTATAAAATGTTTCTGTTATCACAGTGTAGAATTCTGTGGTTTAGGGAGAACGCAAAATTTGGTGAACGCGCACCGGGTGATAGTGCCACTATTAGTGGGGGGCAAATTTGCCGGAAATGAGTAACAGCAAATCCCAGTACCAAATCCAGTAGATACTCCCAAATCCCAGTACCAAACCCAAATCCTGGGACTCATGAGTAGAGAGTATACTCCCCTTCTTGAGTCCGTCGCGCTGCATTGAGTAGCAGGAGCAAAACCAAGTAGCAGAGCAAATCCAGTACCACTACCAGTTACCAGTTACCAGTACCAGTACGCCTAGGCCTAGCAGACGAAATCCCGTTGCGCGCTGCGCGACTGTGCACTGTGCGGGCGGATGTGCGACATTAGAACTTGCCTAGGCCTACAATAGTGCGGGTTTTGGAATTAATTGGCCTATCACAACATCACAACTTGAGGACTGGTTCACTGGGGGGGCTCTGGGCCCTGGGCTAGGTTATGTTGTACATATCTAGATCTAATAAATTCATTATTATTTGAATTAGAATAGTCGCGTGAAGGGATTTAGGCGGGTGCTTTTTAAAATGATGTAGATCTATGTTTTGGAGGAAATGAAGGGGGGGTCGTGGTCCCAGCTTTAATATGTTGGTTTAATTGTTTATTCAAAGATCAAAAGCTAAGAAAACAATTTAAAATATTCCTAATCCTAAACGTGTGTTTTTGTTAAGAACAATGATCTAGTCCCACATGACAAGAAGAACAATAACGAAGAGAAGCCAGGCACTGGCATGACACCACAGTGCAGGACATAGACAACAAACACATGGTTTAGATATCTAGACACTAGACAGCTGCTTTCAAACACCCTTTCTTCATCCAATTAGGCCTAGGCCTAGCCTAATCTAGTCTAGATCTAGATCTAGTTTCCCCACCAGCCCAAGCGAAAGCGATACAAACAACACCACCCCCACCCTTCACGTCATAAGCCTGTCGTCTCAAGCGCCCCAGCCGTAGATTTAGAATTTGCTTTCGTACTGGTAGTTGGTAGTGGGAGAGTGAGAGGCGACAAGGCCTAGGCCTGGGTAACTGCTCTGGTGCAAGTAGTGGGTGCACAGAGCAAATCCCAAATCCCAGTACCAGTTACCAGCCAAGTGAGTAGGAGTGTCCCCCCTTTAGAAAGTACAATGGACTCGTCCTTGCATCGTAAGTTGGTGATTCCAGCTTATTCCAATGAATAAGGAGGGGAAACAAGTCCGTGTGATCAATTTTTAGTCGATTTAATGGTACATTTTTTGAAGGACTAGTTTACTTATTGCATACAAGATTTTGTAGTATTTGAATATTATTTTGAGATATTTCAGTTTAGAAATTAAGCAAGCATATATTTCAAAACTTTGTTTTGTTTCGTACTTTTCAAAGATTTGGGATTTGGGGTTCCAGGTTTTGGGTAGTCTCACTCACACTAAGTACTAGTGGTGGGCAATGAGTCGCTTTAGGAAAATCCGGATATGTTGGTGCACCCCATTAGGAAAATCCGAATAACCGGATTTTAACCCTATTTTCCTCTGCACCCCATTCTAAAGTTGGTGTGAGTCGCTTTTCAAAGTGGGTGTGAATCGCTTGTGAAACGGTCGGCGCTACCTAAAAAAGATACCCTGCTTTTTATATCCTAGTTTACAATTATTGACTCATCTCAAAAGTCTGAATTCTCTCAAAGTTACAGATCCATTAGTTATATATGTACGTGAACAGTAAGAAGAAACTGCGCCAGCTATTTCCCCCCCATCTGTTTAGAGAGAGAAGAAAGTATTCATTGGGACAAAATAAACGTGGTATGTAAATTGATTCACCACCGCAGTACCGGCGACAGCGACCGCGGGCAGGATGTGACGTCAAATCATGTCAAGGTCCCAAACCCCTCCCCCGCCCCTCTTTTTCCCCCCCGTTCCCCAAACATGCCTTTGCGTGGAGGTGTTGATGACTGACGTCATTCACAATACCACTACCACCGAGCCCTCCCCATCGGGTAGGAAAGCAGCTGTGATAGATCTAGATTCTAGATCTAGTAATTTTACCAACTCTATGATTAGTTTCTTGTTTTGTTTTTGTTGTTGTTTTGTTAACTGCATAGGTACATGCCGGCCCGCACCCCGTCCCCCCCCCCCCCACCAATCACACACACACACACACACACACACACACACAAACTCACATACTTACACAGACACACAGACAAACACACATACTTACACAGACACACACACGCACACGCACACACACACACACACACACACGCGCGCGCGCGCGCGCATTAAAAGCGACCTCCAAAAATATATAGATCCAAATCACTGAACAATGAAAACGTAACAGTGGCCTAAGCTGCTAAGCTACAAAAGTCAAAGTACAAATAGATCTAGATCTAAGACACCCAACGTGCTACAGGATTTCTCAGCCTTCAAAGTTTAAAGGCGCGAGTCGCAGACATCACACGTGCCGCCAATCCTAGTGTTGTCTTGTGTCCCAACGCGTCGTGATTAACTTCATCACTACACTACGTTTATCATCTGCTAGGCCCAGTGTATATGACCTTTAGTCTAGTCTAGAAACCCCGTAAGCCACAGTTTGTCATGTCAGATCAGGGGGAAGAAATACAGTGTGCTCCCTTTAAACCCAGAGAAAGGGGTCAACTAACAAAAACATAGGCTAAGCTGACACCAATGCCAAGGTCTGAATTACAAGTCTAAAACAAGGGAAACAACCTCTCCCAAACGAGTTATGAAAGAGAGTCCGACCCATTTGTGCAAACGGGTTTGGAAAGAGAGTCTGATCCTCTTCTGCAAATGGGTTATGAACTGCTTCAGCAAATGGGTTAGAACCATTTTCACAAACGGGTTAGGAAAGAGAGTCAGTGAGTCTGAATCCGGATAACGATTCATTGAGAATTAACCGGTTATTCGGATAAATTATCCGGATTCTGCCCACCACTACTAAGTACCAGCAAATCCCAAAACCAAGTAGCAAATCCGCCCGCCACTACCGGGTGAGAATAGCCACAAGACTCGCCTGCACTATTAATAGAGGTGGCCATCTAGATCTAGATCTAGATCTAGAATCTAGATTCTAGATCTAGATCTAGATCTAGAATCTAGAAATCTAGATCTAGATCTAGATCTAGAAATCTAGATCTAGAATTCTATAGTCTAGAAATCTATAGATTTCTATATCTAGATTAGATCAACCGATTAAAACATCGATAATACCCCGAATTTTAAAATCAGTATCGATATCCAGTAGTCTTTGTTTGTGTAGTTTAGTGCTAGATTCTAGATATAGATCTAGATCTAGAGATTCTAGATTCTAGATATAACGGGACCGCAATAATTGTACAGGAGTGCCCAGATGAGGGTCAAAACTGCCAAGACCCAAGCCAAGCCAAGAGGAGGCCTCTAAACCTTAGAGATCTAAGCTAGAAATCTGGATCTATAATTTCTTTTCAGAAAAAGATTCTGCCCTTGAAGTATGTCCGAAAAAACAAATCTTTACAGTATACAAACAATAAATACAAACCAGCAAATTAAATGTATTCCTGCTGTTGTGTCTGACGTATGATCCAACGATCAAGATGGCGGATCAACGATGTGGGAATTTCGGAAGTAGGAAGTTGGCAGATGACAGAAAACAAGTTGCCAGATCTAGGCCAGTTCATGGACAAAGGCACAATTATAAAGTTTTAAAACAATAATCAAGTGTATCATAACGCTTTTGTTCTTGACGTAATATTAGCATTAACATAATGTATTAAAACCATCAATTGTGTTCGACAAGCTGTCATTGAGGCTGTGGAAAATACCACACATAAACTTTTCCACGGCCAAAAGAAATAGGATTCAGACAAGGCAATGAAGATAGTTCTAGTATTCCCTGTGTCGGTAGGCCTAGTCCTTCGTTGCCGAAGATGACCATGAATCATGTAATTAGCTGTATTATACACCAACAGTTTCTTTAAATGTATCTTGGTGAGAAAAAAAAGTTGAAAAAAATGCCCCTTTAGTCTACGAACTTCTAAAATGGAAAAGCAAAATAGTGAGCTCTGTACTCTGAGTTTTAAAAAAGCGTAGGCCTAATGTCTACATAATTTGAGAGAGAGAGAGAGAGAGAGAGAGAGAGAGAGAGAGAGCTGTTATGCAATCTGGTATGTGCTTACTGTTTTGCCAAATTGGACATGCATATTCGACAAACAGCTAGGCCAGGATAGGCCTTGGTCGCCAAGACTGCTTAAGGGAAGACCAGCATGCTTTTTACAAAGGGAACCCTTTTACAAAAGCCGTTATCCACAGACTTAGTAATCATTTAAGGGCATTTTATATGACTTTGGGGGTCTTGTACGTTATTCAGGTAGTCAGATGGACCTCTACTTCTGCGATCCGGGCAAATTTTTACACTTTTGGGCAGGGGCGAAGCGTCTATAGATCTATAATCAAATAATCACTGCTTCCCTTTCTAATTTTTTACAACCGCAGACAGATCAATGTAGTTTTCGTCTTTTTCAGAATCTACCACTGCACTATACCGATCTCCCAGTTTGGAATAGAACTATGTAAAATGAAATAAGAATACAGTTTGGAATGATGAAATAATACCATTTATTTCTAGAGAATAGCACAAGGAAAGGGGAACAAAGTTATCCCAAAGCTTGAAACAGGGCAATCATAGTCATACTTTATTCAGAATAGTAAAACGATAAGAGATACACTTCTAAACACTGAAGTGCATTTTTGAACAGGTGGGATTTTTCAGGATAAAATTTGTGCAAGCTGTTATGTGTATTTTTTTTCTTCCTAAAATATAATTATCTTGAACTTCCAACCAAAAGTAACCGGCTTTGACTCTAGACAGTGTCATCACTGAAACCAAACAAATGCCCCACTTCTGTTAGCTGAGGTAGATGACTGGTAACATACCCGATAATGCCGACAGTTTAAGCTTAAAATCCGATTCAGGTCCGATCACTTATGCATAATTGGTATTGATTAGCAAAGCATTTCGCTTTGCAAGCTGAAGACGCGAGTTAGCTTCCGTATCAGAAAGATGATTTCATCGAGAATTTTCGCACTTGCTGTAACTTTAGGGACGAAAGAGCGTCCTAAAGTATCGATGACGATGATAAATAAGTAGGATGTCCAGCAGGAGTGGGACTGTCGGACAAGCATGGTCTATCATATTTTTGGTAATAGCAAGCTTTTTGTAAACAGTCTGTCTGTATGTTGCATTTTGGACGTTTAGTCATTGTTGACACGGTGAGGAACACATACGTTGCGGAATAAAAACAATACCTTTTACTAGTCAACAAGAGTGCATATAACGAGCTGCATTAAAATACATGTACATATAATTACAAGAATGGAGAGGATTATGGATTGTTAACAAGAAAAAGAGAAACAGTGAGCCTCGTACGTGTTGAATGTAGCGAATCTGTCGAGTCCAACGTACAAGATTTTCGGCCCCCAAAGCATTTCAGACGCCTGTGCCAATATATTATAAGTAATATATGGAAATAGGTAAATCGTCCAGTAACACATACCGAGATAACACCAAATCTCTCTCTCTCTCTCTCTCTCTCTCTCTCTCTCTCTCTCTCTCTCTCTCTTTCTGTTTCTCTCTCTCTTTCTGTTTCTCTCTCTCTCTCTTTCTGTTTCTCTCTCTATCTCGCTCTCTCTTTAGTGGGTTGTTGGTGGGTGCTCTGGTTAGGTGAGCTCCTTCTTTCCTATCCAACGTCTATCACCCATTATATATATCATCTTTCTTTTTTGTGTTTGAATATAATTATGCATATACAATATCTCGAAATGAGACACACACTCACACACACACACACACTCACACACATATACACACCCAGAGGGAGACAGAAAAGAGAGAAATAGAGAGAGAGAGAGAGAGAGAGTGAGGGGGGGGGGGGGAATAGAGAGATGAGTTGGAAAAAGAGACAGGGGGGAAAAGTGAGAGGGAAATGGAGAGAATTTAGTGCCCCTCCACTCCCTCTTTTCTTTCTCTCCTTCATTAAAGCGCTTCCTGTCTAGCTCACTAACACTATGACTATGAGTGCTCCATTGGTGTGATATGAATTTCGACGATACTGCATTGGGGCTGCTTGCAGGACAAGCTATTTTGTTCTTGTTATGAGGCATGTTCATCTCTCTTTAGACTTCGCTATTATTAGTTTTTCTAAGCAGCAACTTGCGTCACCCAGCCCAGAAACGGAACCACACACACACACACACACACACACACACACACACACACACACACACACACACATATACATGTTTGTATATATATATGTATATTCATCTCGAGCAGAAGCTGGTATTGGTGTATTGGTTTCTGTACAAGGGTCGGTGATTGGGTACCCAAAATGAAGCAGTGTATCTGATAGGTGACATTCCATAAGCAATAGCAGAGAATGATGTACGAGTACAAAACGCATTTCCCCCAGCCCAAACCCTCACACCTGACCCTGTCGACCGATCGTCAGATGCTTCGATAAGATTAGGTTGGGTTCATTCATGTGTGAAAACTGCTAAGAATCAACGTTTGGGCCAGATGACAGGGCAAACTGGTTACGTTGGACCCGAGTCCCTCGCATGTTTGTTTGATAAAGACGAGGTAAGGTGGCCCCCATTTATATCAGTCTAATTATATAAAAGGATTCCGGCCATGGCAGGAAATCCATAAATCCGACCTTTTATAATCTATAATAAAAAGTTATTTATAGCAAGCTTTCGGACAGACATGTTCGGCTATAACAGCGGCCCAATCATTGACACAATCCCAACTAAAACAAATCGAAAAAAGGGCAGGTAAAAGCAAATATAGCAAGGCAACAGATAACATTTACGGTGAACTGGACTTACGTGACCTAGGGTAGGCTAAATTGATTGTGAAACAATTCATGATGTGTCATACCGTGTGCATGTACAATGTGTGTGTGTGTGTGTGTGTGTGTGTGTGTGTGTGTGTGTGTGTGTGTGTGTGTGTGTGTGTGTGTGTGTGTGTGTGTGTTGGGGGGGGGGGGAAGCTGGATGCACTTTGGTGTTTATGAAAATTCAGTCAGTGTCTTCGCATGTCCTTAGTCTGGTACCACATCGTCATCTTATCTCCTCATGCGGTTGAGAGACTTGTTTTAGGGGGAATAAGATTGAATGAAAAGTAGGCTCCGCTCGTTAGATCTACCGCATATCTATGTCATGTGCATCTCAAATCATGTTTACCCAATCTCTATGAAACTGTGAAGCTAGAAAAAAAGAAGAAAAAGATGGAGGGCGGGGGATATCACTCGGAAAGAAAAGGGATACACTTGATAAATAATAGATAGTGGGTAGTCTTTTTTTTTTTTAAAGAAAAATTTCCCCATTCGTTAATCATTAGTTACAGGATACAAAAACTTCATTTCCGTCTATAACAGGATTCAGTCATAACAGTGATATCACATCAGTCCCGGCGATCCTGTTTTTGCCGAGGCCTGTGGTTTGCTGACATGAATAGGAAATATTCTGTTGAACCCCTTCTCTTTACTGGTTGTAAAGCGCATAGAGCATGCTCTTGAGCGTGGATATGTGCTATATAAATGCAATTATTATTATTATTATTATTATTATTATTATTACTGGGAGTCCACTATCGGTGGATACGAGGTTTGCTGTAAAGGAATTCATAAGTTTACAACGCTACAGCTAATCACACCCTTGTGCTTATTCCTTTCATTTCTTTCGAAAGGTTTGTTTTGCTTATAAGCTTTGGAATTTTCATATTACGCCATTACGCAAAGCACCCACAATAATAAAAATTTTAAAAGCAAGAAACAAACCCTAGCCAAATATTATATTAAAACTAGGTCTTCACTGGCGCCGTAACTGTCATTTATGTGTTTATAGAGCGCCGTTAAACATCTGATTCTACTACTATACATGCCCTGCCAAAGTCCACTCGCTTTATTAACTCTACATAATAGTAATAATAGGATATTCAACAGCGGTAACCTGACCTATAAATAAATCGCTCTTTAGGATAACACAAGCGATGACGACACATGTAGCGAGTTTGGCGGTACATTAATATTAATAAGACGGCACATCTCAATAATTTTGCTCCTATCGAATAGCGCCCAAACACAGCCCACAGTAGTCTAAAAATAAACACGATAGACTGTATGCTATTCTTATTCTAAGCCAAAACTGGCCAAAATTATGGGAGCCCCGGAGAAATCCAGCAGAGTGCTCAAGTGAATCGTGATTGGTTTATTGTCTTGCCACCGTTTTAAGTGACTCTGTGGTGGCCGTGAACCTGAAAGGGGGCGGGGGTGGGGGGTGAACGTGACATACTTAGGTCACCGTCCTATGAGCTGTGCCTTTCAATGGTTTTGTAGTGGAGTGGTGAGAGTTATTGCTTGAGTGTTCAGTTCCAATGCCAAAATGAACGAAATTGATGTTTAGCTAACAAACAAATTTAGTTATAGAAATCAAAGCGACAGGTAAAAAGAACTAAAGTAAAAGCATAGGGTCCTCACCAACCCAAAGATCCTAAAGTATACACCATCTCATTATGTTACTCTGCCCTTAACTATCTTCAGCCTGCGATAGCTTAATTGTGCACGTCCACTTTTTAGCCCCACGAAC